AGTTTTCACCAAATGAAAGAAATTTTAAAATACATATATCCATAAAGACAGAAAATAAAAGACATCTAGAGATAAGAAATTTCAGCAAATTTTGAGAAGACAGGGAATGAAGATGTAGTTTATATTCATCTACATGCAAAGTACATTATGAGCTACATTATAAAGTACTCTCAAAGGGATACAAAAAGTAATTTACTCCATAGATTTCCTTTGAGTCTTGAAGGCAACAGGTACCAGGCAAGGAACTGGAAGAGACTTAGTACTGAAAATAGGAAAATTGACTGGATTTCTCTATATACAAAACTGCATAGCTATGCCCCAGACAGAAGATGAGAATATTCTTTGGCTTTCTGCCAGACCATCCTGCAGTGAAACCTATTATGCATACAAAGCTTCCAATTAACTTTTTAGTGCTTCACTCTTCAATATTGAAGGACAGCCAGGGATCAGCAGATATTTTTTAAAGCCCAATCATGAAAGATAAAGACCTAAATAAACAAACAGAAAATAGAATTCAGAAATAATGCAAGAAACAGGAGGAAAAAGGATTTAAAATGTATTGTTGATATCTTCTAAGAATCTAAGAGAACATTAACGTTTTATGGTCTCCTGACATACTATGAAAAAGGAGCATCCATTCAGGAAGCAACAAATAACTTGTGGAAAATAAAATATGCTATCAGATATAGATAATACAGTCAGTAGATTTAGAAGATAAAGTTAAGAAACTCTCCCAGAAAATAGAATAAAAGGACACAGACATGGAAATTACAAGAGAAAAAAAATAATTGTTACCAGATAGATCTAAAAGGTAAGTCCTACATCCAGCTAATCAGGATTGCAGAAAAAGGGAAAATAAAAACAACAAAGAGGAGGAAATTACCAATTAAATAACAGAATTTAAGGATAAGTGCTTTCAAACTTTCAAATTGAAGAGGGCCATGAAGTATCCAGTACAATGGAATTTAAAAACAACAACACACACACACACACACACACACACACACACACACACACACCATCAAAGCACATTTTCATGAAATTTCAAAAGACTACAGATTAGATAAAAATTCTAAAATGTTCTGATGGAAAGGAATGTGGGTATAAACTGGGATTTTGAATAGTAATGGGACTGGATTTCCTGGCAACCATTTTCAAAGCTAGAAAATACTAAATTAAAATGCTTTCAAATGCAGAAGGAAAATTATTTCTGACCTGGAAGTGTATATTCAACCAACCTTTCAATTGCTTGTGGGTGAAATAAAACCATGTTCAGACATGCAAAGTTTTCAAAAAATGTACTTACCATAGATGCTTTCTCAGTAAGTTATTAGATGTTATATTCCAACATTGGATATTATATTCCAATAAGTCTAGCAAGCAAAAAGTAACCAACCCAAATAGGAGCAAGAAGATAGACTGCTTCTAATGGATTATTTCAGGGGAGTGAGAAATTATTAAAAATCAAATTACATTTGTTTGACTATACCAAGAGGAGATAGGATATTGAATTAGTGGAAGGTGCATAGAAAACCCAACCAAAGAAAACAAGAGGCAATTTTTAAAGAAAAATGAAAGCACAAGAAATAAAATGTGATTGAATTGCAGTGGAATATAGTCATCATAAAATAAATACTATTAATTAAAAACAATATTGTTTGGTTGATTAAAAGTATGTGGGGATTTATTAGAAGAAAGATAAACTGCCAAATTTTACACTAGAAACCTGTCATTGCAAAGTCAGTAGTAGCACTGTAATCAAGTTATTTAGAATTTTAGGGTAAGAAAAAAAACCTCGAAAATGTTGAAAATTATTATCTGTAGGGGGCATAAGTCAGGAATGGAAAGAATAGTGATTGAGAAATAGTCCATGCATTAGATACCAAAGTTATCAGTGGGGAGAGAGGATGTTCAAGAGATGATAAATAGAAGGTCTGAGGAAGGGCAGAGTGATGTTACTGCCAGGTAATGAGACCATCAAAGCACAGAGGTTTTACAGGATGAAAGAAAAGTAATAGTTTTAGAGAACAAAGGAGGATAACAACTCCACTTTCCAAGCCTGAAGTGTTTGGAAATCATCATGTTCCACTTGTAAAGCCTGTAGGTCAGCCAAGTTTCTATTGAGACTACGACGGGGAGGGAGCATTTCGTGAAGAAAATGAGGCTCCTTGGAGCTGATGATGATGTAAGGCATAATCTCAGAGGCCAGGGTGTAGAGGAAAGAGAAGTTGAGCCAGGGAAAGCCTTAGCACATTGTGGGGATGAGAGATGGGACAGAAAAGATGATCAGAGGTGCCTACCATTTGGGTCAATGAAAGACAAAGCAGTTACAAATGAATTAAATTCCAGAAGTCTTGGTGGACAGTGAACCCTCTGGCCAAAGTGTTCAGGTGCAGACCTGGATTTTGTCTATTTCTCTTGGTTCATAATAAAAATTTTGTGGTGGTAGCACAAGGTGGGTATCAAAAACAACCATGCTGTTCAGCACATAAGGGGTAAGTGCAAGACACTGGGTGACAGAAAGCATGAACAATTGATTCCTCACTCATCTGTATGTCATCAAGACAGACAGAGTATATGTCAGCTCTACAGCATCACAGCTGGGTGGTCAATGTGGCCACTAGTGACTCAAATTAAAAACCTGGGAATCTCTTAAACACCTTTCTTTCCACCTCTCATTTCATCCTTCACCAACACTTGATTGTGCTTCTTAAGTAATATCTTTCCAGTTTATCATCTCCTCTTCATCCGCACTGCTACTATTTTAGTCTAAGCAGTTGTCACTTATCTTTACAACTGCACTAACCTCAGCAAACGTGTACTAGGTGCCTGATAGATGTCAGTTGTTTACTAGATGCATTTATTGGTTGCCTAATACGTGTTAGATCCCCCCATGGAGACTTGAAAGGCACTATCTATATCTTGGCTATTGTAAATAACACTGTAATAAATATAGGGTTGCGTATATCTTTTCAAATAGAGTTTTGTATTTCTTCAGATATATTCCCAGAAGTGGAATTGCTTGATGATAAGGTAGTTTTATTTTTTGTTTTTTGAAGAACCTCCACACTGTTTTCCATGTAGCTGCACCAATTTGCAATCCCACCAACAGTGTGTGAAGGTTCTCTTTTCTTCACCTCCTCACCAACACTTATTTGTTGATTTATTGACCATTCTAACAGGTGTGAGGTGATATCTCATTATGGTTTTAATTTGTATTTCTCTGATTAGTGACATTGAACATATTTTCATACGCCTGTCGACCATTTATATGTCCTCTTTGGGACAATGTCTATTATGACCTTCTGCCCATTAGCTTGTTTGTTTTATTGGTGTTGAGTTACATGAGTTCTTCATAAATTTTGGATATTAACACCTTATCGGATGTATCATTGGCAAGTATCTTCTCCCATTCCATATGTTGTCTTTTCATTTTGTTAATGCTTTCATTTGCTGTGCAAAATTTTTTAATTTGATGCAGACTTTGGATTCTTTTAAATCTTATGATAAAATTGTGTCAGCCCCCTGGAACAGGTAGGGCACCTATCACCTGGTGATATATCTTCTACTTTTAGGGGGACAAAGTGATCAGGGTTTTCTTCTTGCAGGATAATTTCTTAAATAAGTTTAAATCAAAATAATTGGTATGCCATTTTGGGACAACTTAGGGTGGCCTACCCTGGGCCCCTACAGAACTCCCTTATAGGGAAATCTATAATAATAAAAGTGTAATATGCTTTTGGGTCAATGAAAGAGATCCTTCTGGACAAAGCCAGGGCTTTGAAGGAAGCCCAGGTCTCGGGTGCCAGAGGGAAGTCGGTGCGAGCAGGGTTGGGGGCTTGGAGGATAAGGAAGGAAGGCCTACTCTTGCACAAATTTCGTGCACCAGGCCTCTAGTGGTACAAATAACTAGGAAACTACATAGTTAGTGCTCTGGGAACTCAGAGGAAGACACTACTCATTATTCTTCCTGGGGAGACATCACAGACAGAGTGACCTTTTAGTTAGAATGAAAAGTTTTCAATCAAGCTATCAGTACCTGATGTGGTTGGGGAACGAGTCGCAGACATGTTTGTTTATTTATTCTTGTATTCATTTGATCATTCTATATTTGTTGTCAAGCACCAAGACAAATGCAAAATATAAACAAAACATGATTTCTACCCTTAAGAGGCTTACAATCTATGAGAAGAATAACATAAAAAATAATAGATTTAATAAAGTACTATAGGTGCATGATACAAATCTGTACACAATTTATGGTATTTAGTCAGTTTAACTTAGAGAAAGTCATGCCAAGGATGTCACAGGTTTCTGCCATGATTACAAGTTGTTCTCTCCCATGAAAATCTCAGGATTCATAAAGATAGGCCCTCATTCTAAGCACATAACCAATCCAACTCTGATTTGTTGTTCCAATAGAACATAAGCTTCATGAAAACAGAGAATCTGTTCAATTCATCACTCTCTCCCCAGTACCTAGATCAGTGCCTAGAATAGAGTGGTTTTTCAATGAGTATATGTTGACTGATTATATGAATTTGTGGGTCAAAAAGAAGACATCATAAACCTTAGTGGTGAGACTTGCAGAAATGGGAGAAAAGTATTTTTTCAACAATTTCTGGAGGTTTCTGTTCTCCTCTGTTACTTGTGTAGAATTAAAAGCATACCGTAGATCCATGTTGCAAGTGGAAGTGGAAGTACAGTAATAACATTGCAATATGGTCCAGTTCTGTTATTCCCAAACTGTATGATATTGAGAAGTCTCTTAACCTCTCTAAATCCATTGTTTTATTTGTTAAATGGGAATAAATCCTATCTCACATACCTTGTAGGTTTGTTTAAGGATTAAATAATATAATGCTTGGACATGTCCAATATAAATTTTGAAGTAATATGTAATTATACAATATATACCAATATTAAATTTCTAAGGTTTAAATATTACAAGAAGGTAGTTGATTAAGCAATTGTGTTTTTCTTTTTCTGTTTTTCTCTAGTGCATTGCCTGGAGATGACCACCAAACGGAAACTCATCGGCCGTCTGGTGCCGTGCCGATGTTTCCGAGGTGAAGAAGAAATCATCTCAGTTTTAGATTACTCCCACTGCAGCCTTCAGCAGGTGCCAAAAGAAGTCTTTAACTTTGAACGGACATTAGAGGAGCTTTATCTAGATGCCAATCAAATTGAAGAGCTACCCAAGGTAATTTTGACAGCCTAAAATATACTCTGTACATGAGTTTTTCATAATTCCCAAAGACTTGGCATAATGCTAAGGCTAACTATAGCCCTCTGCCCTGGTGACTGACAAATCACTAAAATTGGTATAAGTTATCCCAATAGTCTCATTACCTTTTTTTATTTATCAATATTACAAATTTATTTTAACAAACACCAATCAAAATTTTTTGATGTAACATTTTATCTAATAATTAAGAGGAAAATGTCTTTATTATTTTACTTTTTCCATTTCATTTGTAATTTCATCTGATATGTTCATAACCAATTGAACTCCATGGAAATGATCATTTATTAGATTATGCCTTGTTATTTTAGTTGAAAATGACCTTCAAGAAAATATGGATTGGTGGCTTAAATCAATAACTTCTGTGTTTTTAAAAAGGAAAAAATATACTATTTCAGAACTGAAAATTTTTTATGCATGTATGTTTAGGTGACATTGTTTTAAAAACTTGAATTACATGGTCTAAGTCTAAGAAATACTTTTCACACACACATGAAAAAATGTTTCTGGAATTTGAAATCTTTGATTATTACAGATATCATCAAATTACATGGTGTTTAATAAATATAGTGTAGAAAAAATAATTTAAAAACTAATACCAAACTTTATGTACACACAGATGCACTCACAGAATCTTTATAACATTGTGCCAGGCAAAGAAAATGTCTCATGGGAACTTGTTTTCTATTGCAGAAAAGATTGATGACCAGAAATTAGCTAAAGCAGACAGAGATTCAAAATCTAAACCACTGGATCCTAATAAACACTTAAATACATGACTCAAATTAATTAATCACATGGCATTTACCTATGAAAGATTTGCACAATGGCTCGGAGGGGAGAAAATTTTCATTTTCATTGCTTTTGCTAAATAAAATGCACATTAAATATCCAGAAACTAGAAAAAGAATCTTCCATAATTAAACTAACTTCATTATCAAACTCTAAGTAAAGCATCCTGGTCAAAAAAAATTATAAATGATTATTTTTATGTAGGATTATTAATTGTGGTGTTTATAAACACTTCAAAGGCAAGAACTATTTAATGTATACTTCAAAACCAATATATTTCTTTTTTGACAACCTAAGTGTACAGTGTCATCTTAGATCTTTGCCCAGGAGGGTTGGATTAGGCCTAAAAATAATTTTGGCCAATGGATGATCTGGATTGCACATCAAGTAGAGGCTGGACTGAAATGGGCTTTCCCTTCTTCCACCCAACTATGAATTACTTGAGGGCAGAAATGCCATTTTGTTTAACTTTGCTCCCTCTACACATGCATGCATGGTGACTTTCAGAAAAGATTACTCAATTTATTTGTTGTCCCTACCAGGTGAAACAATGTGGAGAACTTCATTACTATTGTATTTGATTAGCAAAACTATGTAAGGGTAAGCAATTTATAAATGTGGCATTTAGCTTATTTAGAAAAATAAGCACACATATTTCGTAGAGAAGGCCAATCTAGGATTTCCAGATAGAAATAAAGGACATCCAATGACATTTGAATTTTAAACTATAAGGCAGACAATTTTTAGTATAATTATGCCCCAAATATTGCACTGCATCTGCTTATACAATAAAAAGTTTGTTATTTATCTGAAATCTAAATTTAATTGAGCATCTTATATTTTTGTTTGCTAAATCTGGCAGCCCTCAGTCCATCTAGTAAATTAAAATCTTTTTCTAGTTTCATGTGACAGATTCTGTAAGAAAATAATAAAACATGATCTACACTAATAAAAGCAAACATGCAAATTGACCGTACCTTCGCTATGCCTTAAGCCATGCCCACCAGCCAATCAGAGTGACTATATGCAAATTAACCCAACCAAGATGGCAGGTGGCATCCACAGAGCTGGAGCAAGCAGGAGGCTTGGTTGCTCCAATGATGAATGTTCACAGGAACCCATAGCTAACAGCCAGTTCAACTCTCCACTCAGTGCAGAAATGGCTACTTATTATTTCTCTTAAAACAGTCATCCAACCTACTCATGACATTTCTATTAATGAAAGAACACATAACTTAAAAATCAGGCCCTTGCATTACTGGAAAGTTGTGGTTAGTAGAAAGTTCTGCAACAATTAATTAAAAACAAAATACTGGAAGAAGCTGGGTACTGGAGCTCCATGTCATGTGTGCTATGGACTACAAGGCCCCAAACTGATAAATTTGTATTGAGAAAACAATTGCATACATGTGTTATGGAAAAGCAACATTTTATAGTAATTTTTCTGCATTTCTACGAGTCTTAATTCCTTTTTTTAAAAAGTGATATATCCCTACAAAGAAATATTATTGAAAGGCAATGAAAGGGAATAAAGTATTGTCACATGCTATAATGTGACTGAACCTTGAAAACATGCTCAGTGAAAGTGGTCAGGGATTTACCAAGGAGGGATGTTTCAGACTGGTGAAAATTTTGTCATGGTCTGCCTCCATTCACTGGACCATGAATAGCAGAATTCCTTATTGACTCTTCAGAAAACAAATGTGCAAATAAATGCACCTGAATCATGTCAGCAACCAGCAGGTAAAATAATGCTCCAAGTTAATGACCAGCCAAGGGGCTATGAAACTATGGGCAAGCTGTGTGTGCTGAGCCTTTACATAAAAGCAACGCAGGCTCTTCGCTCAGAGACTTGGCCCCTGCTCCTTCCTCTGCCAGCTTCTCTTCCACTAGACCTGCTCCTTCATTTCCTTCAGCCTCTCCTAAAGTCTCCTTCACAGGGAAGCTTCTCCCCTCTATCTTATATAAAATAACACCTTCCACCACCACTACTTATTCCCCTCAAGAAAATTTTAGGCTTAATTATATCTCTAAAAAAATTTCTAGTTCAATTCAGTTGTTAAATAATATTAAGACATTGCCTAAATACTTTATCACTGAGATAAAGCAATGGCGTAAATAGTCCCTTCTGACAATGGTGTCTATTATTTTACAAAGAGTAAAACCCTTGACAGTGGCCAGAAGTGAAGAAGAATGGGAAAAGTTGGAGCATATCTGCAAAGGACAAAAAAAATAAAACCGTCTGACTTTTTAAATTATATTTTTATTTTTTTAATTAAAAATTGTTTAATGTTCACATTATTACAGAAGTCTATGGGGAATGTAAGGAGTTCTGAAGAAAAAGGACCAAGATTTAACACGGTTCTGACTAGCCCTGTGACTTCAGACATATTTAACCCTTTGGAACTTTAGCTTCTTCACCTGTAGTAAATGCTAACAAATTTATTTCAGTTGTCTCCTAAGAGTGAGGATCAAACAACATAAAGTATATGAAAGCCCTATATAAACAGCAAAATGATATTCAACTCTTGGGTTAAGAGAAATAATTTATTCTATATTATAAAAGGCTAATATGCAAATAGACTGAACAGGGAACAACTGAACAGTCGCTATGATGTGCATTCACCACCAGGGGGCAGAGCGCAACACATGGCAGGCGCGGGCCACAGCAGGATGATGGAGCAGTTGAGCGTGGGCACCAGACCAAAGCAGGGCACCAGTTGCTGTCATCAGGGCGAGTATGTGGTGGTTACTGAAAATTCTTTGCTCCCGAGTGCTATGGTCCTGCCCGACCCTTACACCTGCTGCTGGCGCCAGCCCTGCTTGCACGTCTGCCAGCACTGGAGCCGCCACTCACACCTGCTGCTCACACCGGAGCCTCCACTCACACCCGCTGCTGGCACCAGCCCCAATTGCTCAGTGCCGTCAGTGGTTCCAAGTGGTGGCTGCTGGCCCCAACCGCCCCTCAGGACTTCTCCACCTACCTCTGCTCCTGAGGAATGATCAGGGCAGCAGTTGCCTCTTGCACTCGCTGTCAGTGCTGGCCCCAATCCTATGCACTGTCAGCAGGTGCAAGCAGGGCCGGAGCTGTCAGCTCATGGGAGTGGTGGCTGCGGGAGCGAGGCTGCAGGCAGAGAGGAGACCAGGAGCTGTGGTGGGAGGGGCCAGGCAGGGACACAGAGGATGGCTAAGACCTGCCCCTGTGCCCACTGCAGCCTCATGGCCCCACAGTTCCTTTCAAGGTGACGAATTTGTGCACTGGGCCCCTAGTTTTATAAGAAAGGGCATATGTTTAATAAAGTTAATTTATTTCTTTAAGATACATGTAAACACATTCAACACTATAATCAAAACTAAACTTTCATTGGCAAACAAATAGCTATTGATTTGTAGTTTTCTGTTTTTCTTTAAATTTAGTCCACAAAACTAACTGACCATTTTAAGTAAAGATAGACATTTATTGGAAATATATCTGGAGTTCATAAAATTAATAGGAACCTAAAGAACTTTACATGGGAAAGGTAGGATCCAAGCGAGCTCTGGATGGTTGCCCAGAATTCACAGTATAGGGTAGTATGGGCCACACACTGCTGTTCTCACACCCCTATGTAACCATGATGTTTGTTCAAGATACAAATTCCAGATGCCTCCAAATATAATAACAATGAAGGATGTCCTTAAAAGGAAGGTCAAGGTTCTAATGCAAAAAGGGGAATGGATGCTGAACAGCAAACTAACTAACTAAATAAAACGCCCTCCAATCTTTTCCATGGCTTCAGTTGTATGGATTCTTCTCGTCATTCACTGATATTTGCTACTTAGGATTCAGGAGCCTGTGGCCATGCTTTTCTGAGACCTTCAAATAAAGTTATTTGAAATAAAGGGCACTTGCTTATCTTGTGAGAGGTATTACTATTAGATCAAAGGAACCATAGAAGGATTATTTTAGGGTGACAAACTATGAGGTGCTAATTCATAATTGCGATTTTAGCTTATTGAAACTTGAATGAGCATTGATTATTTTTTCTTCTACACAAAAGGAATCTTTTTAAATGAAAGAAACTACTTTATCACCATAATTGCTCATTAAACAATTGTGATGATTGAGAAATATGAAAAGGTTTACTCTAGGTTAAATATGGCTTAAATTTGCAAATGTAGAACAT